GAACACGCTAAAAATCACACCGATGGGTACGCTCTCCATGAGACTCTTACGCTCTCCATGAGAGAATGTTCAAAAATAACATCTAAGGATTAATTCGCACAAATGTTTAATGTAAATATCATCATAATATAAATATTTAATAATAAATCGAATATATTAAAAAGTAAAACCAAAAAAAGAAAATATAATGAGTTAAGTCATAGTATAATTTTTTGTATATGAATTTTAATTATTATTATTCTATTTAACTACAACTTAATTCTAACTATTAGATATGAACTTTTTATTCTTTTATTTAAATGTCAAATATCAAAAAATAAAATGATATAACAAAAATGGACCAAAAAATATTGCACTATTCAACTTAGGAATTCACATTTTCAAACTTTTAAATTTGAAATTATAAAAAAAATTAAGTTTTTAATTGTCAATTATAAATATGACTTTGATCCCTAAAAAAATATGAGTTTTTGAATATTTATTGATCAAATATCGTTGTAGAAATATAGCGCAATGTAGCGCACAATAGCATTAATTAGCGTAAGAAAGCGTGTCTTTTTAACATTTCGCGTAAGCTTTTCGGGAAAAAACGCTAAATATATAAGGTTACGTCGCGTTTTTCCGAAAAAAGCTATATAGCGAGCAATAACAAGCTACATAGCGAGCCATTTAAAATAATGTTTTCTGCAGAATAAGACAGGCTCCTGTGATGGCTCAGGTGGAGAAAAACACACCAGCAGAGGGGACATTTTCCAAGGGGGTAGGGTTTGTTCTAGTACAAATCAGTGCCCTTCTCTCTTTTGATGGTAGTGTTAAATTCAAAGGAAGGGTTGTACATAAGGATAAGGAACTGCAATTTTGGCAGAAAAGCTGGGAGTGGGTAGCTAATCAGGAGGAAGAAACTCTGTAGGGGGTTAGATGGAAAAAAAATCAAATTTTTGCATGAATCTGGGGGCCATTATAACACATCCCTTCTAGCTGTGTACTCTGATATTGAACGGTTATTGTTAGACTTTGATGTCTGTATTTTTAGCTTTGATAATTGTCGGCATGTTGATTGGAGACTTGATGGTGTGAGATTATAGCTAAGATAGAAGAAGAATCGCAGACAAGCAATTGAGAGAGAAAAGATGAACAAGATGAACTGACGATTGAATTACAAAAATTGAGAGAATCAAAAGTGTTTACAAACTGTGATGTCCCTAGTATTTATACTTAGGGTTCACAAGGGTGTTAAAGTAAAATTACATCAGGTCCTATAGTTGCTACAAGTGATAGCAACTTTACATACAATCTAAAAACAAAAATTACATCAGGTCCTATAGTTGCTATATGAAATAGCAACTTTGCATTTATTCTAAATACAATATTTGTATATGCTAATACCCCCCCCCCCC